CACCTCTCCCCTCCACTCTCTTCAGTGTGTGATTCCCTGTACCCCAATGGGACACTGAGCGGGGCCCCCCCGCAGCTCCCCTGGTATGCAGACCAGCGCTTCACCCTCCCAGCTCTCTGCGGCCTTGTCATCTTCCCACTCTCCGTCCCCAGGGAGATCGGCTTCCAGAAATACTCCAGGTACCACCCCATGGCAGCCAACCTCTGGGCATCCTGTACCCCAGGTCACCTCCCAGGTCCCTGCAGGGCAATGGGACACCCCCCCCCTTTCATCCCGACTGCTGCAGGGGGCGTGGGGGTCTGCACTCTGACGCTCTCCCCGGCCCTGGCAGCATCCTGGGCACACTGGCTGCTTGCTACCTCACCCTGGTTGTCATTCTGAAGTACCACCTGGAGGCAGAGAGCCTGGGCTCGTCCGAGCCCCCCCAGCCCTCCAGGTAGGGGTGGGAGGGGTTCAGCCCCATGTCCCTCTCACCTCAAGCTCTGTGGCATCAGCAGTGGCATGGGGCAGGGCTGGAGGCAGAGCAGAGGGTGACCCTTGGTACAGGGGTGAGCTGGGGACAGTGCTGGTGGGGCAGTGGGTGTGTGGCTGCCCCCAGCCCCAACTTTTGCCCCAGGGGTCCTCCCTTTTCCCAAAATCACCAGGCAGGAGGTTCCCCCAGTGGCATCCAGGCTTCACAGCTTATGCCACTAAAGTCCCCTCTGCCAGGGGGCGGGGGGGGACAGGATCTCACTTCCTTTGCTCCTCTGCATACCACAGGGCCTCCTCCTGGGCCTCCATCTTCAGTGTCATTCCCACCATCTGCTTTGGCTTCCAGGTAGGTCACCCTGGCCCCACTGTCCCCATCTGCCAGGGCGGTGCTGCGACCTGCTCATGGCATCCCAGACCATGGAGACAACACCCCTGGCAGCGTGGGGTGGTAGTGAAAGGGACATGTGCCTGTCACCAGAGGTGGCTGCAAGCCCCTGGGTGTGGACGGGAAGCACGGCACAGGACACCCATGGGTGGGAGGGGAGGTGCTGGGGGTGAGGTTGTCCCCAGTGCCACCCGCTGTGCCCTGCAGTGCCACGAGGCCTGCGTGGCCATCTACAGCAGCATGCGCAACCAGAGCTTCTCCCACTGGGTCGCTGTCTCCGTGCTCTCCATGCTCATCTGCCTGCTCATCTACTCGCTCACCGGTAACCCCAGCTCCGGAGCCCTTGGCCCCCTTCTTGCCATTGGGACCCCCCGCTCCCCAGCCCAGGGCTCAGCCATCCGCCTCAGGCCACCCCCGTCCTCACCGCCGTGGCCGCCCACCCTCATGTCCCTGTTGGCAGGGCTCTACGGCTACCTGACCTTCGGCGAGACCGTGGCGTCCGACGTTCTCATGTCCTACCCAGGGAATGACCCGGTCGTCATTGTCGCCCGCCTGCTCTTTGGCGTCTCCATCGTCACCATCTACCCCATCGTGGTGCTGCTGGGC